CTCTGAAGAAACTTGCCAAGAAAACCCTGTGACAAGTTCACCACCTTAGGGTCACAATAAGTCAGAAACCACTTGAAGGCACACAGCAACAACAAAGGCCATTATTGCTGTGTGTAATCAGGATAGCTACATGGAAAATCCAGATCCAGAGCTAATTGTGGGAGGCCACAATGGATAGGATCTGTGCTACCATTGGGAACACTGGGGAAGCTGCGTTGGGGAACAGATGTGTATGTGTTTCTTTGTGTGTGGGGTTTGTAGATAGGAAAGATCAGTAAGGTGCTGGAGCTGTGTATGCCATGTGGTTTGTGCTGTGCCCTTAAGCCACTCTGATATCTTGTTACCAAGGTTGAAGATCCATTAGGGCTCTTATTCCATTTCCTTTAAATACCTGCTTTGAAGTGAATAACCATGGGTAGATTTGGGCTGTAGTGCAAGTTGCTTTTCTCATAACTTTCCTATTAGTAGTGGCATCACTAGGTTTAGCATCACCCTGTGCAGTAACTCATGGTATTATCTCCCTGCTGCCATTGACCTCCTCTTATATCACACCATACAGAATCCTTAATAATGTTTTTTGTAGGAACGTTACTAATTAATCATAATTTCTGTATATTACTGAATGTAATGGCAATAGTTGTGACATAAACTCTTTTTTTTTTTTTTGGTTTTGTGTGCCTTCAAGTCATTTCCAGCTTATGGCAACCCTAAGGGGGTTTTCTGGGCAAGATTTGTTCAGAGGAGATTTGCCCTTGGCTGAGAGAATGTGACTTACCCAAAGTCACCCAGTGGCTTTCATGGCCAAGCTGGGATTCGAACACAGGTCTCCAGAGTTGCGGTCCAGCAGTCAAACCATTACACCACACTGGCTTTCTAAACAACTAGCAAAATTAACATGATGCCTTTAAATTATAATATGATATGCACAGACTAAATGCATTTACATATACATAGGTTCATGTGGTTTAAGTGAAAGTTTGGGAAAATGTGATGTTTTTAAAGAAAAGTTATAATTATTTTATTTTATTTTTTTAAATTAAAATTTACAATTTAAAAACTGAGACTTCTCATTTCCCCTCTCACTAAGCCTCAGCCCACTCACACCATTCTCTTCAGCATTTTAAAGAAGACACAGGCAAATGCCACAGCCTATTTCTGCCCAAAGGTAGATTTGGGGAGCAGTGGTGTCCAGACCCTCCCACACCCCTAGTGACACCACTGCCTATTGGGGTGCATAGATAGCTACACCTTTTCATTCAATCTCCTTCAAGACTTTTATTTTATTCTATTTGCAGTACCTGACAAGCCCATCAGTGTAATACAGATTTCTGGGTAGGTCGTCCCATCTTTGTGTACTTCTCAACAACAATACCTTAGCATTAAATTATTCTTCACAAATAAACATAAACATCTGTTGTGTCTGATGTGTATTTGGTGTACTGCTGTGCTGTTGACCACTGCCAATCTTAACATTGTCAGCAGTTTGAAAAGTACATACCTCCCCTGTTTTGTTTCCCCCTGTTTGGCATAAGTTGTGGTTTGACTGGCAAATTAAATTTTGGAGCAGAAGGGAGAAGAGAAAGAGAAAGGACATGATTTATCTGAGCAGTAGCGCATTCTTAATGGCATGTAAATTGTGGCTCATTTATTTATTTTCTATTCCATCTTTCTCCCAAAAAGGGAACCAAGGCGGCTCACCATACAGTTGCCCCTCCGTTTTCGTGGACTACAAGTCCGCATCCCTCACCTTTTTGTGGGTGGCAAACAGAGGGGCACACCACCATTCAAGCCTATGGGGCTTGAATATTTGCGGTTTTCATTTTCGCACGGGGGGTCCAGAACATATCCCTTGCGAAAATGGAGGGGCAACTGTATAAAAACACATTAAAAACAACATTTAAAAAAACATTTAAAATAACCTAATTAAAACACGAGAAGGTTAAAATTTTAAACATACAACATTTAAAACATACAAAGGTTAAAAATAATCTAAACTAACCATTATCCTTAAAAGAAAATCTGCCATTTCTCAATAAAATCCTGTTTATTTTATTTTATGTATATCTGGCACCTTCAGCACAAATTAATCCCAGACAAGCATTTACAATTGCACTTGAAAAAAGTCAACTATAAGACAAAAAAATCCAATAATAAGAAATGCAACAATAAAAACAGAGTAATCTTAGAAGCTAAACAGGGTTAGCCCTGTTTAGTACTTCGCTGGGAAACTGACAGTGAGTACCAGGTGCTGTAGGCTATATTTCAGAGGAAGGAACTGGCAAAACCATCTCTCAGTCTCCCTTGCCTAAGAAAACCCAATGAAATTCATGGGGTTACCATAAGTCAACAGGTAACTTGAAGGCACGTAGACGTACGAAGAACAACATTATCAGAAAAATGGTTAAGAGCAATTCATCTCATATTTTTAAAATATCAGATTTGGGATGTAAGTAATTATGAGTAATTGCACCACTTTAAATTCCATGGCTCCATCCTACAGAATCCTAGGATTTGTAGTTTTGTGAAGCGCTAGTCCTCTTGGGTAGAGAAAGATAAGCACCTTGTGAAACTACAAATCCCAGGAATCTACAGAGTGGAGCTACAGCATTTAAAATGGTATCAAGCTGCAACATTTCTACAGTGTAGATGCACCCTTATGCAGAGAAGGCAATTTTTCTGCTATGGCTGTTTTCCACAGCCCCATATGCCAGGAATACCATAGAGATATCTAGACAGAGTAAGTGCTGTTGTTGGCTGCTGTATTTGTTGCTATTGTTCTCAGTATAATTTTTGAAAATAACCAATGCTTCTGTTGTCTCAGACCATACGGTGACAATTCCCAGTACCAGCAGCAACATTTTATTCCCACCCAGAGGTTTTTTTTTTTAAAATTTCCAGGATTTATCCCAGCAAAAAACAAACAAACCCCAAAACCAACAGCCTTCCCACTTGTATAATTAAATATTTGTGATTTTTATCGGGTTCTTTGGCCATTCCTTCTTTTTCTGACTCGATGGAAGCAGAGAAGTCCAGGTTTTTTAAGACAGTGTTCCTTCAAAAAAGAAGACATGCCTGTATTATTCTCATAAGGGAGCCCTGGTGGCACAGTGGTTAAATGCTGGTACTGCAACCACTCACTCATAGCCACAAGGTTGTGAGTTCGATTCCAGCCAGTGGCTCCAGGGTCGACAGCCTGGCATCCTTCCAAGGTTGCTAAAATGAGTACTCAGCTTGTTGGGGGCAATTGGCTTACATGTTGTAAACTGCTTAGAGACTGCTTAAGTTCAGTATGAAGTGGTATAGAAAGGTAGCTGCTATTGCTATTGCTAACATCCAGAGTCAATAGTGAGCAAAGGCACTGAAGAAATCTGAATTATGATTGTCTAGAGATGACTATATTGTCATGAGATTTGATTGGCCAAATTGCTTCCTTCATTCTTGCCCCTTCTCTGCTTGGGATCTGAGGTTCAAAGTGGATGCAAAAAGAGCCTCTAGAGATGTTCTTTGCCTGGTCTAGATTAAGAGTCCCATGTTAAAACATTCTGTGTTTTCCCAGCTTTTGGCTATTAGCCTGCAAGCTGCCATCATTAATTCTTCTGATGTGACTTGCATTTTGTGCCTCTCAGACAGATGATAGCCCTCACATCAATGGGGCTTGTTTATCAGCTTCATTTGATCCACTACTGATCTCATAAATTGATTCAGCACATCCATGGCCGCATCAGTACAAGGTAAAAATAAGAGGCTGAGAGAGTGTGGCTGGCTCAAGGTTAGCCAGTGAGCTTTATGGTAAAGGGGCGGTCAAGCTGTGTGGCCCCTGTGAGACAGAGTTCATTTGTTCACTGTTATGTGAAACCTGATCACACTGAGACAGGAGTACTTCAATGGTCTGCCTTTAAAGACTCCTTAGTTATCCCATTTGATCCAAAATACGCCTGCTAGCTAGCTGACCAGAAACTGGTTGTATAGAATATATGGCTGATGAGTTCTTAACAATTTTAGTGACTTCTGGTCTGAATCCAGATCCAATTCACACTGCCAGTTTTAATCTTTAAAGGTCTTCATGTATTGTGACCAAAGTAGAACTGCTGATGTCCATATACTGCCGAAGTATTAATTTCTTTCTCTATATCTCTTCTCAGGGTATACCTACCATTTGAGGTTAGGTTGATGACAACCAAAGAGAGGGCCTTTTCTATTGTGGCACATTATCTGTGCTATATTCTCCATGGAGTGGACTGTCTGGAGCTAAGTTTTCTTTCCTTCTGGTATTATTGAATTACTATTACTATATTCATAGTAATCATTACTATATTCATAGTAATCATTACTACTGACTTATTATTGTCTGCTTTTTATTATCTGCTGCAGATCTGCTTTATCTGATGCAGCTTTTTTTTTTTTAAAGCAGCTCTATGGTTTGTAATAATATTTTGCTCTTTATATTGCTTTTAGATAGAAATTTCGCTCTGCCTTGGGAGTTGTAAAACTGAAGGATGTAGTAGTAAATCAGAAAGAATGAAAATAGCATACTAATTATACCTTTACAGTAATGTTATATGGCTGACAACCATGAAGCTTTTACCAACTAATACTCTCTTGTGGAACTGGTTACAGATTTAACAGTTGTGGAAAGAGACAGAATGACAGGGTGAAAGCCAATGTTACATGAATGCATTTTACCCACACTATATAAAACCTTTTCCTTAACCATCTGGTTCCTTGTGTGCTCACAAAATGTGATCAAGAGTATCCTCCAACTATCCAGAGTAGATGTTGCGGCTGTGCACAGGAGTGCTACTAGAAAGAGAATGATCCTTTTGCTTATTATGCTGATGAAAGACAATTCAGCCATTTGAGACTGAATTGTCAGTGAATTCCATAATGAATTTGTTTTACTGAGGCCAGAATCCACTTGTTGGATTGTGCTGGCAGCATTGCACAAGGATATAGTCAATACCTTCTTGTACAATTTCCTTGTACAATTTTTTCCCCCCAGGCTGAACAATAGCATCAAATGGTGCCAGGTGAAACTTCTCCCCAACCCAGACACTATTTGGCCACATGCATGTATCAAACAAGCTTTGTTGTAGCATTGAGCAGGGGATTTTGTAACCTCCACAAAAGTGCGCTGGCAGACCTTTATGTTCCACCAATGTCAAATATGATCATGGCCTGATTATCATGTTTATTAATTTATTTTTGTCTAACACTAACCCCCTTTGTAGATGGCACTTTGTGCCGTCTTGGAGGCAAGGAAGGGGAGGGGCAGCCTCATGCTGGGCACCCCAACCCCTTCCTGAGGACGTAATTGGAGCGCCCGTCGTTGCACATGATGGGCGCTCCGATGACGTCCTTCCGACTCAGCGTCCAGACACGCTGAGCCAGAAAAGATGCTGAAGAGGCATGTGCCACCTCTTGCAGCACCCTTTCCATGCCTTGTGGAAGGAGCGCTATTTTAGCGCTCCTTCCAGGGCCAGAAAAAGAGTGGATTGGGGCCAAGGAGTGCGGCAGCCTTGGCCCCAATCTGTGGCTTCTTGGGCCGGCCCATGGCCACCCGTCTGCAGAGGCCCTAAGTGAAAAGATTTATAAATAAATGTGATAAATCTTCCATTATCATCATCATCATCAACATCATCATCATCATCGACACAGAAACAAAATAAAATCACTTCCATTTTCATCATTCAATTTGTACAGATGGCAGTGCTGAAACTAGTGCATAATGATTTAGCTGTTCTGGTACCCACCCAACTCATATCCTAAGTATGGGATATAGCATTCACCATTAACTTAGAGGAGGTTCAAATGTTGCTGACTTCACTTTTATTTTTATTCTTGAAGTGCTTTCCCCTTGATGTTTGATTTGT